CCCCTTTCTTCTTCTTTACACTCCACAGTCCCTATAAATTTGCCCTTAACTTCAGGGACAATGCCTTTCCATTAATATCATACAAAGCCACTCCGTCCTCTCTCTCCATTGGTCTAGCTCTGGCTACCACTGTCTCCTGCCTGGCCTGGCGGTCACCAGTCTGGCCCCCAATCCAGTGCATTTTCCCCACTGCAGCCAGACTGTGCCGAAATCATCTGCTTAAAACCTCCATTCGAAAGGCATCTAGCACTCATCTATAGCTAACATCACGCTTAACAGCGAAAGACTGAATGTTTTAAGATCAGGAGTGAAAACAGGGATGTCCAGTTTTACCACTTCCTTTCAAGAAGATAGTAGAGATCCTATCCAGTGCAGTTAGGCAAAAAAAGAAATAAAAGACATCTAGATTGTAAAGGAAAAAGTAAAACAAAAACATTTATTCACAGATAATAAAAAAAAACCTTAGAAGTATTAATAGTAAGTTCAGCAAGGTCATGAGACATAAGACCAATGTTATAAAAACCAACTGTATTTCTATATATTAGCAGTGAATAATCCAAAAATAAAATAAAATAAAAATTAGTTCTATTCACAATAGCATCAAAAAGAATAAAAATTCTAAGACAAACTTCCAGTTGAAGATGGAGAGCCAAGCCAACATGTTAAACTCCCCTTCCACCTGAGCCCCTAAGTTCTCATAGAAATAATCGAAGGTATATTAAAAAGAGCCAATATAAATGTCCACTCTGGGAACTAGGAAAAAGAGACAGATAACTACATGCTACAAACACTAAGGAATTTCTGCAAGATGCAGTGTCAGTATGACCTGATTACGAAAATACCTACCCAGACGAGATGTTGACAGAGAAATACACCTTAAAATGTGTTCTGGGGGCACCTGGGTGGCTCAGTCAGTTAAGCATCTGCCTTCGGCTCAGGTCATGATCCCAGAGTCCTGGGATCGAGCTCTATGTCTGGTTCTCTGCTCAGTGAGAAGCCTGCTTCTCCCTCCTTCTGCCTGCAGCTCCCCCTGTTTGTGCGCTCTCTCTGTGTCAAATAAATAAATAAAATCTCAAAAAAAAAAAATGTGTTCTGAAGAAGGAACTTAACCACTAGTAGAATCAAAATCACAGAAAAGGCAAAGAAAACTTGTACTTGAAAGTAGAGAAAAGGAAATAATAGTAAATAAGAGTAGGGAAACTTAAAAACAGAAAGCATTAAGTATTATACTGGAGCAAACATATAGGTTGTCACCAAAAAATGTGAGTAGATTAAGCTTTCCTATTAAAGAATAGACTCTCAGTAAAGGCTTAAAAATAAAAATCCAGGGGCATCTGGGTGGCTCAGTTTGTTAAGTGTCTGCTCTCGGCCCAGGATCCCGGGGTCCTGGGAGGGGTCAAGATCCCTGCTCAGCGGGGAGTCTGCTTGTTTCTCTCCCTCTGCCCCCGCCCCCTGGCTTGTGCTTGCTCTTGTATCTCTCTCTCTCTCTCTCATATAAATAAATTTTTTTTAAATCTTAAAAAAAAAATCCAATGATATGATGTCCTAAGAGATATAACTAGAACAACGGCAGAAATATTTAAAACAGAGGAATTGGGAAAGAGGGGGACCCAATAAATACAAACCTCAAAGAAAATGAAGATGGTTATATTAGCATCAAAGTAGAATTTAAGACCAAAAAAAACCTGGAGGAATAAAGATAACTTTTTTATTGAAAAAATACATAAAATTCACTCAATATCTAATGTTTAAATACTTACATGCTGAAGAGTATAGCACCAAAATATATAAAGTAAAAATTTAGAAATAAAAGGATAAATTGACAAGAACAATAGCAAAAATGTGAAAACAATGCATTGCTTATCTTTGACAAACCTCATTCAGACAATAAGAAATTAGAAAAACTGCATAATGTTAATAACACAAATTTTTTCACAAAGAATTATTTCTTGCAAATACTTATAGAACACAACAAAAAAATGATCTTATACTGTGGGGAAAAAAGCAAGTTCCCCAAAGTGGAAATAATCATCTGATCATAATGCAATACAACTAGATAATAACGTCTTAAGCATAAAAAATATTACTGGAAAATCTGAGGGAAAAAACCCTAGAGTCAAGGAAGGCACAAAACCATAATTAGAGACTCTTCCTAAAATAATGACTATCCATAAAAATTTATGGGATATGGTCAAAGTTATACTTAGGGGAAAATGTCTCTTAAGGTTTTTGTTATCAAACAAGAAATAATGAAACTAATTCAATTCACAAAATCAGCAAAAGAGCAACATTTGCCCAAGATAAGAGGGAGAAAAGAATGAATAAAGATAAAAGCAAAGATGAGTCAGTAGATAATAGAGAAAGAATAAAACTGACACCCCTACAGGTGGAATGCAAAAAAGATCAATAAAAGAGGCAACTTCTGACAAGACTAATTGAGTAAAAAGAAAGAAAACACAAACACACAGGAGCAGACGCAAGATAGAAGGTGCGCTCCCAGATACCAGACAGATGGGGAAACTGTAATGCATATGATTCTAGGCTGACACGCTTGACCATCTCCATAAAAGGGATGATTTTGTGGACAAACATACATATAGAAACTGATTCACATCAAAAATTAATGATGTAATGTATGGTGATTAACATAACAATAAAAAATTTTAAAAAAAAGAAACTGATTCACAAATAAGAAGAAAACCTGAGTAGACTAATAACCACGCAAAAAACATGAAAATAATTCACAAGGACCCAAGAGTCCTCCCCAAACACACATGCTGTCCCCCCTACACCCCTGGAAGGAGCTCCATTCCAAAACCTTCAAGGAGCGCACATTCCACTCCTTCCTGCTATTCAGGCTGTCCCTCTGGGGTCATCTCCCTGCCCAGTGTCCTCCAAGCTGTGAGCTCCTCTGGCTGCAGGGGCCCCAAGAGGCCCAGCACTCTTCCCCCTCTGCTAAGCCTGCAGGCCCTTGGTTACTGAAATGAAAGGAAATGAGCAGATGGGGAAAATCACAGAAAGGGAGAACCCAAGCAGGGACCACCTAGTGAAGGCACAACCCATGGGAGCCTCCTCCTCACACAAGACTGGTTGGCCAGAGTGGGCTGTGCTGGGGCAGGGGACACAACCAGGGCCTCCCCTCCCAGGACCACCTTCCCACCCTTCCAGGCCAGACCAGTCCCCCCACCTCCCGTGGATGTTCTGCATTTCACTCTCCCAGTGAGCAAACCCAAGCATCAGAAAGCAGAGGTCTGACCACGTCCGTGTGGACCTCAGAACAAGGAAAGCTAAAACAGCTCTAGGATGCAGAACCGGAGTCAGCCTCCAGCTGTCCACACCCCAGTGAAGTACGCCATTAGCCTTTCCATCTTTCAACTTCATTCAACATCCATCAAAAGTCTATGCAGGGGCCCCACAGATGGTGTCACCTGAGCTCAGCACCTGGTGGTAAGGACTCGCTCCTTTGCGACCTCTTCCAGACTCTCCAGTCCCAGTCTCCCCCTGCTTTTTCTCTAGCTCTGATGTCTTTGAATGCTCAACTGACATAGTCACATCCATGCCAGCCGGCCCCCATTAGCCGGTAGCCCACGTGAAGACAGTGGCTGTGTTGTGCTCGCTGCCGCATCCCCCGCACCCAGGCCAGTGTCTGGAACATAAGGGGTGCTCATGACATAGTTGGGCAGTGAATAAGTGAGGAGGACTCTAGTCCCTGCCCCCCCCCCAAGTGTCACTGAAGACCTACCGTGCACCAAACATGCTGGCTGTCAAGGCAGGATGGATATGCCCAGCCTTGTCCGGGAGGAGCTACTAGTCAGAGGCGCCCCAGCTGCCCTCACCTCTGCTGCAGCCTTGGCAGCCTCACCTCTGCACTGCCCTGAGAGGGCAGGGAGTGGGAGAGAAGAAGGCTAGCGCTGTCCTGTAAGTGCTGTTTGTGACCCTACTCCGGAAGCTTGCAAGCTAAGGGCACAGAGCATCTTAAACAAAGCCTCAAGAGTTAAAGCACCTGCCAGGGACCAGCTCATTGCTGTTCTGCTCATTAGCACCCTGAGCTCCCCAAGGCTTGGCTGGTAAGCCACTAACCCTTTGGCTCCCTGGGGAGCCCAAAGCCTGGCTGGCAGAACCAGGACAAGGCTGGCCATGGAGCACGGCTGGCCACCAGGTCAACAAAGCTGGAAAGCTAGGACTCTGGGGCCTTGACCTCTGTCCCAGACAAGTCTGCCCAACTGCAAAGGCAGCAGTCTCCCTGCCTGTCTCCCTCCTCGATGTGAACTCTCTCTCCCCCTCGGGAGACAGCTCAGGGGGTCAGGAAAGCCCTTCCAGAGTTTTCTCTTCCAATAACCAGGATGGGGTTTGAGAGAGTGGGAACTTTGCCCCAAACTCCTTTTTTTCGGGGGGGGGGCGATGGAGGGGCAGAGGGAGAGGGAGAATCTCAAGCAGGCTCCACACTCAGCACAGAGCCCAATGCAGGGCTCGATCTCACAACCCCAAGATCATGACCTGAGCTGAAATCAAGAGTCAGACGCTTAACCGACTGCACACCCAAGTGCCCCTGCCCCAAACTCCTGATTCTACGCCCACAGTCAAGGCCATGCAAATGCAAGGCAAACTCCAACAAAGTATTGATGGTTTTCAAGTACAGGATGTAAGACATGATCATTATTAGCTTTCAACACATATCTGCTGGATCCAAGGGGAGAAAATAGATCTCTGTGGGTGCAAAGAATACACACCAATAGATACACACACACATACACACAAATCCATGCAAAATCCGTCTTAATAGAAAGACTTGAATTTCTCTACAACACTTTGTGTCTTCTAGCTCATCTTCCTAAGTACACTACCCATCAGTCCCACCTACTGGGTACTTCTAAGTTGGAGAAAGGCATTTGGAAACATAAAGAAAGCAGAGGAATTGAGGGCAGAGCCCATAGGAACAGAGGGCTTTGTTGGCAAACGGGCTTGGCTCAGGTCCCCGCTGTTGGCTATGGAGACAGTACCTGGTCCGCAGGTTCTCTGGCTGGGGCGGGCCATCAAACACCGACAGGACGTCAAAGTCCTCTTCCAGGGCAAAGGACTGGAACACGAGCTGGATCCTGTGCTGGTCCTCTGCGGTGATGGTCCACGTGCAGTTGGCATAATTGGGGTAGCCGTACGGGAACCCTGGGCTCTCAACTGTCCCATTGGGACCCTGTAGTTGGAACGTGCAGTTTTGGCCTGGGAGAGAGAAAGAGAGCGGGTCAGTATGGCCAGAAGAACTCCCAGAAGCTTCCAGACAAAAAGGAGCAACATTGACCCGCTTTCCCACAGGCTTCCCAGGCTGCCCCAGGCTGGGCACAGAGGGAGGGAGGGTGGGTGACAGACAGAACTTGGGTTTGCTTGTGCCATGCACTGCGCAGATGACAAAATGTGTGTCGCTGGACTCGAGGCTCGGAAGAACTGTGTGGTAAGAAAATAAGGCTCAGAGAGTTGGAACTAAAAGCCACCAGACAGGGCAGAACAGAGGCTTCCCCTCTAGAACATCAAATGCCGGAATGGAGACTTGGAATCTTCCCCATTTTCCCTGCCCTCCTGACTCTGCAGGTCCCTCCTCCAAGCTCACTGTCTCTCCTCCCACCTGGCACAGAAAACAAAGCCACAAGGGCGGATCCCTTGGTCCTCTGTCTCCCCCCACCAATTCCGAACCCATCCACTCTGCCCCGGGCTGTCCTCCTTCCCCCAACAGAGGAACCACCCCTGCTCCGATCTAAACATAATCGTCCGATCTGCCCTTGGAATCCCATCCCCGCTCCCCATCACGAAGCTGACCTGTGTCTCTCTCTTGCATACGCTACATGCGTCCAATCATTTCCTCTCCGCTGGAGCCTTCCCATTCTAAGTGTGCTCAGGACTCCATCACCGAGAAAACAATTCCCACTGCATTCCCTCCAGCCTTGTCTCTCTCTTCCCCTTCGCTGCCAAATTTCTAGAAAACACAATCTGTCTATACTTTCTGTCTCCCTTTCCTGACTTCCCACTCGCTCTCCAGCCCTGTCACTTCTGCCTTCGGGTCCTATTGATCCACCCAAGCTGGTGTACTAAGGTCACTGACGGGTCCAGTGGATATTTTTCAGTCTTCCCTTTAACAGACCTCTGTCTCTGCTGCCTCTAAGACTGTTGCTCACACGCACCCTCCTTTTGGAAACACTCCTGCCAGGCCAGAACATCTCAGACTTCATTGTGCATGCACACCGCCTGGGTGCACCCGGCTGAAATATGAACTCTGACCTTCCAATGGACAGCATCCTCCTGGGGCCAGAAGCTGTTCCTCTCACTGGATCCAATGATGCTGCTGCTTGGGGACCACAGGCTCTCTCCCACACCACTGCTCTCTCCTTCTTTCCACGCCCTGCTCTTCCTCTGGCCCCCTTCCAGGCTCGGTGTTGGGACCTCTCCTCCTCTCTGTCTAGTCTAGAGGACCTCCCCATTTGCTCACTGACAACCCACAACTTCACATTGCAGGCTAGACTTCCCTCTGAGCTCCAGCCCCGACATCTCCTTTGGGATGCTCAGGTTTGTGATGTCTCCCTCCCTCCCTCTCCTCTGACACCTTCCTTTCCATCACAACCCCACTGGCAATCTACCACCTTGTCTCTCCCTCCACTCCCCGCCACTCCCTGTCCACACCAGTCTCTCTCCTGGACTGCCGTAATAACCTCCTACCTGGTCAACCACATTTACTCTGGTCCTTGCCAACACTGCTGCCAGGGGTGTCTTTTTAAAACAGAAGTCTGATCAGGTCACTTCCCCTCCCCCCAACCTACACCAAACCTTCCATGACTCTTCATTGCTGTTCAATAAGGAAGAAAATCACTTGCAGGCCTGGGATGGTCTCTGCATGGTCTGGCCCTCAGTGACCTCTTAGACCCAGTGTCCACTAGTGTTCCATTCAAACACCACCCTCTCAACTTTTGTACCAGCCACACTATCTTCCTTGCACAGCCACAGGACCTTGGCATATGCTCTTCTCTTTTCCTAGAATACTCTTCCCTACCTTCGGGGCATGTTTTTCTTTCAGATCTCAGTCCAGTGTCTCTCCTTGACTAGCTCAACCCCCCTATTACATGTTCTTATGACACCATAGCTCTCCTTGATAGCATTTATCATAGAAGCAAATTTCCATGCTTCCACATGATTATTTCATAAGGATCTGTCTTCTTGCCAGGCTGTAAGCTCCATGAGAAGACAGACCATATGTGAGTTTTCCCATCTCTGAATCCACACCCCAAACTCGGTATCAGGCACATGGTAAATTTCTAATAATGTAATATATGGCTTCTATTTAGTGAGTGTTTGGTTAGATACTCTTCTCAGTACTTTGTATAGACCGAGTTGTTTAAACCTCACAAACAGCCCTTTAAGACAGATACTATTAATATCGTCTCCATTTTACAGATGAAAAACTAAGGCAAAGAGAAACTAAGGAACGGAGCCCAAACCACACGGCTCACAAAAGGATTCACATGTGAGCAGCCACTTCACACCCCCCTCCTTAACTCTGATGCTGATAAATGGACTCAACACCAATTTTTTTTTAAAGCCCGCTTAGGGATTAACTGACAAAGGACAGTTAATCTCTGAAATGATTTTACTCTTGAGAACTCTCTTAACACAAAGTATCCCATTAAAGAAGAAAAAAAGTTAAAGTCTTCTGAATAAATGCTAAACAGGCATTTAATAAAATTAGACGTGTAACCCTGATTAAAATAAGCATTTGGAACTAGGAAAAAGATTTCCTTGCCATGATACAGCATCCATTTTAGAACAATAACCAACATCATACTTATGGCGAAACACCTGATTAAGACCAGGAGTGCTGCTATCACCTGTGAGGTTTCATGACTTACTGAAAGAGCTAACTCATGCAACACACACACACTAAAAAAGAAAAAAAAAAAAAAGAGCAAGAAAAACATGGTTTGCAAATGACATTTTAATATACCCAAAACCCAAAGAAATCAATTATAAAGCTATTAGTACTGATAAAAAAAAAAACTCTGTAAAGTAGCCAAATGCAAAATAAGTTTACAAAATCAATACCATTTCCACATGCCAGTGACAGATAAAAATATAAAGAAAAAAGTTCTTTATAACTACAAAATGCATGCAAGACATAGAAATAAGCTCCGTAAGAAATGAGCAGGCACTGTATGAAAATGCCTTTTAGAGAGGGATTTTAAAAAACTGAATAATTGAAGAGACATAACGTCATCTTGAGCAGAAAGACGAACTACTGAAAGGTTAATTTAGAATATTAACCTTTTGAAAGTTAATTTATAAGCTTAACACAATTCTGATCAAAAGCCCAATGACCTGTTTTAAATTTGGTAAGATGATACCTAAGTTTAAGTGGAAAAATAGACGGTCACAGACAATGCATATTTTTTGAAAATGCAGTATCCTCCTTCTGCAAGATACTAACCAGAATCACCAAATGATGCTGATGAAAACAGCGGAGGGGTGGTCTAAGAGCAGACAGGCAGAACGGGAAACAGTATTGTGGGAAGTCTTAACACACATAAAGATTGAAATACATATAAGACAACATTAAAAAATCAATGAGAAAAGAAAAACATTTTGCACAGTCACCGAATTAACTGGGAAAAGAACCACGACCTCCTCAACTCACACCATCTACTAAAATAAATTCCAGTTGGAGAAAAGAGTTAGAAGTTAAAACAAAATCAAGCCAAAAAAGTAACTAGAAAAAAATATAGGCAAATAATTATCTGGCTGATTTTTCTGAGCAGAAAAACTGGAAAATACTACCAGCCTGATAGTTTTATGCAAAAAGTTTGTATATGTCAAAAACAGAGACAGAAGAGAAAAGGACACAAAAGTGTTAGGCACAAAAGTAATTGCCTTAATATACAAAGAACCATTGCAAATCAATAGGAAAACAACAAGCACTATAATATTGAAAAATCAGGGTCTTGAACAAATTAATTTACTAAAGAAGACGTAAATGGCCCAGAAACCAGAAAAATATTCAGCCACAATAATAATGAAATAAAGCTTCAAAGGAGCCCCCTAATTCACTTCCCTAAACTTCCCCTCATCGGCACAGGCACCAGATCTACTCATGTTTCTAAAATCTGCCTGGAGATATCATTGTACTATGTCCTTCATTCATTCATTCATTCATTTGTTCATTCATTCTTCTAGGTTAGACCCAGTGAGGGACCATGGGGCCCAGATCCTAGACCAGACATAAGCAAACACACCAACATGGGCACCGAGTGATGCACAGAGTGCATCTGAAGTACAGAGCCCATGGGGACCACACCGTAAAGGCCACTATCATCCATGTCCTGGCAACCACAGATACCAACATTTACCACCATCCCCAGCATCCTGGGCCGCTGCCTCGGCTCAGAGCGGCACAGATCTGCCGTTTCTGATTCAGAATCTGGGTATAAACCATACTCCTGCTATGGAGAAAGAAGTGAAGGGGCTCAAAACAGAGCCCCTGGGAACATTTTCCATGTACGGGGACAAGAAGGGTGACAGGGTAGGGGGCAGGGAGACAGGCAGAATGGCAGGAGGAGAACCAGAGGGCATTGCCATGCAGGAGAACTTGACTCAATGTGTTGGGCACCACAGACAGACTAAGATGAGGGTCTGGGGCGAGGTCACTCAGTTTGATGTCTCAGTGGTCCCTCTGGAAGGAGAACGCCGAGCGAGGGATTCATCCTGGTTCCCGCTGCCTCCCCAATGCCGAGAATTCAGTAAGTATGTGCTGAATGGATACATGAATTTCAGCAAAGGCAGGTGGCTGGAGGCAAGGCTGACAGAGGCCAGATCGTAGTAAGTAAAGGCAAGATGGACTGGTGAGAAGGTGGAAGCCCGTATATTTTAAATAATAATTTATTCATTTTGCTCGTTCGATTTGAAAAATACAGGCAAGGATAAAAAAGAGGAAACATTATAACTGCACCTGCCTTCCAGAGGCAACTGCTATTAATAATTTCTTTTTTTTCCTAGATTTTTCCAGACACATTTCACACTGTGCAGTTAATACTGCACATATAATTGTGTGTGCTCTTTCTTCAGTAAATTATTCTTGTCTTAAATTACAAAGGCACGGTGATATATATAGATATGCATATAGGCAACACAAACACATATAAAGAAAAACTGATCTCCTATCTCTCTCCCTTCCACCCAGTCCAAAGTGA